GATTATTTTGCCATAACTTTTAATTAAAAATAAAAGTGTCACAGTGATCGCGGAACCGTAGACTGTTTAACTGATTCGAAGACCGACAAAATCCCTGTAGTGTTCGGTCACCGTTAATCCCTTTACACATCAAACCAGGAGAGGGGCTTTAATGGCGGGCATTCAAGTCTCCAGACATCTTTTTCTTAGTTATTGAGCTCATTAAAAGATAGATTGTAAACAACAAAACAATCAACGTGTTTTCTTTGCTTGTGTAGCATGTGTTCAAAGATACAGTGAATAAACAGGACGGAGTGCATCTTGCTCCTTTTATTTTTATTTCTGTATTAGATAAAACTGAAAGCACAATTAGGTATGCCGAGATGCTGTAGCAAAGGTTTAGACTCACAAGTTAAAATCTATATATGGGTAAATTTTTAATCTCTTAGTTGTTAAAACTGAACAGTGTTCCAATTTTTCTTTTACACTGGCCATTTTGCCTGTGATTCCTGTTGCCCAGGGAATTCTACTTAGGTCAAGCTCAGCACTTGGTCTATGGGACAGCCTGCAGTACGTCACAGGATATTAAATGTTGTGTTTCTGTCAAGTGGTGTTTAGATCGATATTGCTAATAATCTTAATATGTTATTGATTCCTCTTCCACTTTAGATGACTAGGTTAAAGTTTCAGCCTAAGAAATACACTGTCTCTGGTAGATGGGTTCTATGATGATTTACAGCTATTCGGTCACCAAGGCTGGTGAGCACTAATGAGGTAATTCGTCCTAATGCTCAGGCTGCTTATTTATTAGTACACCCTCTTATAATTGAAGAAATACATCGTGGTCTTCTATAAATTGGACAGTGAAAAGTTCACTAACGTACCAGTTCTGGCTCCTAAATAGAATAGGACTGTCTGTTCGGGATATTAATGAGAGTTTTAAAAACTTTGTGGTGATGTCCCAGTTTTATATAAGCACCTGCCCAAACTTTCAGACAGACACCTCTGCTTCTCCCTGCATCTCACCGATTGCCTTGATATTCCACTTCTGAATCCGTGTCTGAAACCTTCCGTTCTCACTTGTCCTGTTGGTGTGGGGTTCACCGCTTGTTCTTTGAACACATGTGCCCCGCTGGAGAGAATCTTCGCTCGGACACTTTGGTCTCTTGGTGTCAAGCCAGCAAGAATGCAAATTGGGCAGCAGACAAAGGGTTAGTGCTGGCAATGGATATGCACTCCTTCCCAGGATGCATAGCAACATGGCCAAGAGAGTGTTGAGAAAGTTCCTGTGATTCTGTGGCTAATCCTTGGACAAATAAACCTCTGTAATGGACCACCACTGGTAGCTGTAAGTGTATATTCCCACTGAAGGCTCTGGCTTGACCACTTCCTGTCCAGTTCCCTTGCTCTCTGCTCTCTTCAAACTTTTCATGAATAAGAGCACACATACACACACATTGGCAAACATAGATATGCACACATAACTAGATAAGATAGACCACAGCTATACAGTATACGATATCTTCCATACGCATAGACATCTGAGATGCCCATATGACACACACTAAAACATACTCCAGGCTACACCCACACACATTGGAAGTTTATACAATAAAACAAGTAATATTTAACATTGTAGAGTCATGTAGAAAACATACAGTACAGCTAGATGCTCAAATTATTGTAAAGTTCAGGTGCCCTAAACTATATCTCTTACTGATAGACACATACATACACATTATTCAAAGATTGTGAGGGGGAATGACAAAAGACAAAAAAACACATTTTGGTCTCACAAGTGTGAAATAAAATACATATACACTGACAATGTGAAGTCACTGTAAAAAAAAAAAACCCTAAAAGTTGAGCAATTAAATAAAGGCAGCAGGTTTTTTCTTAGATTTCGTGAATACAGGATGCACAATTATCTTGACTCCTATAGGTACAAAGTGCTTACAAAGGGAGTGTATTTAGAATACTGGCTCATGAAAACTGTGCACAATGCAGCAATGATATCTGATACTCACACATAAATGTGACCACAGGGACCACGACAATGACATTGGGCTGCTACAGTATGTACAGTGTCCTTTAATGCAACAGGGCAATCACAGGCACAACTGTGGCAATACTAATTCATGTGCCCTCTCCTACAGTATGTATACCTTTATAAGCACCACGTCCTCGTGTTTTGTGGCATTTTGCCTGTGTTAGCGTGAATTTCTTTTATATACCCTGACATGGTAAACCCCTAGTGGTGTCATGCTGATAGCGGCCTGTACAGATGCAGTTGCTCTGCAGGCAAAGGGACGCTCCGCACCGTGATGACAGCAGCTCGAGCGCCTCTGAAGGTAGGGGGCCAGGCTGCGGCGTGGAATGCAGCAGCTCTGAGGACTTCTCTTAGAGGCAGGTTTATATTTTTCCCGCCGCCTGTGTGTCTGAATGCCTGTGTGGGAGCGCCCAGTGGTGGCATGAGGCAGCGGTTTGATCGGGGTCCAGCCTGTCTAGCTGCTACTCCCCCGGACTCCAGGCTCGGCTTCTGAGGAATTCCCGCCCACTAATTGCTCCGGTTATTAATTCCAGTCTTCCCCACATCGCCGCTCCGCACAATATCATTGAACGCAAACCATCTCGGAGGCCAGCCGTGGCTCCAGTGCCCCGTGCTGGCAGGGAGCACTGTCTGAGGAAGAGGTGAGATACTCCAAGGTGAAGAAAAAGAGTGGTGGAAGTATTTTCACAAAGACTCTGTGGGAGTTAGCACTCTGTGCAGTCTGATTTTGCTGAGAAATGACCAGACTGGGCCCCACCACTCCTCTCACACCTCCACGAACATGCGATGGGACTCAGAAAAGTCGCAAAAGCCTTTTTCTGCTGGTTTTTTTATTTTCCAAAAAGCATGGTGCTTGGGGATTCCCTAAGCACTTAGGTTCCTTTTAGGAGTACAGAAAACGTAGAAAAGTATCGAGCAATTTGTGAGTAAGGCCTTTATTCTCGTATAAAACTGTGATCAGAAAAGGCTGTAAACTAAATGTTTGCTACCAGACCACAATATCCTTTCCTAAGCCACAGCCCCTCCCCCCTTACCCCCCACAGTTCTTTGATGGTCAGAAAGAAGCAGCATAGTTTTATGGGTCCAGTGAGGCCTAAGGTTAATACATCAGCACAGGCAAACTGGTGCCAAGTACTGCATCCCATTTTCCTTACAGAAGATGTTGTTTTGTGCAGTTGTTAATGAAAATGAATGCATGCTTTGTTAAGTGTCACAATAGATATTCTTTCTGTAGGCTCTTCTTTTGCTTTTGCTACTTCAAAGCAGGAAATTTATTCAGCCTTGATGTGTTTGTTATTTCGCCTGAGGGCTTCACAGTTTTTTCAGATTAAACTGCACACATTGGACTGGTAAGGACCAATTTGGGTTATTTCGAACCTTTTCCTGAAAACTACAAGCTCCCCTTTAGTTTTCTGTGGAAATAAGTTATTTGTGAAACTTTAATACACTGTAGGTGTTAAATACACAAAAGAATGCTTTATGTATAGGTGTAAGAGAATAAAAAGTGCAAAAAGCAAATGTTGTCATTTGCCAAGCAGATTTCTTTATGAATATATGATTCCAAACTCATCAATACCACTTAGTAACCAAAGGCCTCGGTGGGCCTTACCAACTGGTTTCTTACTGTGTAATCTCCCTCCACAGTGTGTTTTCATTTTGAGAGACGTGTCCTGTTTTGAAGACTCATGCAGGTTGTTTTGAAACCCCAGTTTTCGAAATGTTTGTAGACACACTGGTAAATAGGCAGCTTTCACAGCAGGCTAAAGCAGGCTACAGCAGGCTAAATAATTTTTAGCTTTGTAACATATGGGTTTCAACAGAATGTGGTCCAGTAATTGCTGTACATTTTTGCTCTGCCAGTCAATTTTTCCCAGTGCCCCTTCTTAGGGCAGATAGGGTTCATGCACCAAAAGCACTCGTACAATTTCAAAATAGTTTTGAAACTCAAGCAGACGGTGACGACTAGGGGTCAACTTTGGAATTCAGTATTTCAGTAACAGTTTAATTACTGTAACTATGGTATGTAACAGATAACTATGCAATGCATCACCTACATTTTCTAAAAATAAAGTTAAAAATGCTCAAGATATATAAAGTACAAGAGTTTATGTGTAAACCTTTGCATTCCTGCTAATTTAGGCAGTTCAGACAATTTTAAAGCATTTATGTGCTACGAGATTAAAAAGAGAAATCAGACAAAAAGTGCAGACACCTTTTGAAGTACCAGCAGTTAGCCTACTAATTTTGTGTCTTCCCTGTTTGCTTCAGTGGTTCACATTTAAAGTTTTAAATTCCTACTAAAAAACATCCCCATTAGCCAAACACTGGAATGGCTGTAGTGTCCTTCATTTCCCCCTGGAATAAGATGAACAATTTAGGGATACACTTAGGGATATTCGAAATGGATAGGATGATGATCGAGAAAGAGCCAAACTCACCCTGTCCAGGTACCTATTAGTAAGGTTTTGACTGATTGAAGGCCACTTAATAATTTCAAGTGCTCTTAAGCATATGAACCTGCATTGATTTAGAGTTTGGATCCTCATTGTTTTTCATTACCTGTTTAGGTTTTAATTAGCTGCCCTCATTTTTTATCTAACAATCTGTCAATATTTCAGCGCACACACTGGTCATGATTAAGAAGGTTTGATTGTGCTAATCCCATTAATGAAACTTTATGGCTACTGTCAGGGGATTAAATGTCACCCTTGTGACTTCACTCCATATGTCTTTTTCTTCATTTCACCAGTCAATGCAGCATGTCTTTGCTACTCTTTTTTTTCTCATGATCTGTCTTTCTCCTTCACACGGACATGTATGAAAAAAGTAAAAAGTGTAGTATTAGGAGTGAGACCCCACGTGTGCAGTTATCTCAGATAGCCCATGTGTGTGACATATCCATATAAATTCACAATATTTTGTTGTGGAAGAGATGAGAACACAAGACTGTGTGCAATATTCTCTCCCCTAGGTGGACAAGGTGTGTGGCTCTTCTGCTGAGGGAGGTGTGCGTCCTTCCCCATTGGTGATGACTTCTTCAGACACACCCGAGCCTCCAGCTGAGGGCCAGTATGGCCATATGGCTCATTTGAGGTAAGAGGTCAGAGATTAGGAGAGTGTTGCACCAAAACAGTGGGTATAGAAACTCATGTGGAAAGGCTCTACAATAATTAACAGGTTATACAGGTGATAATGTCAAATGTCATGTATTATTCATAATGTAGGAATTCAAATTTTTGAGTATTTAGGATTGAAGCAGAATTATGAAGAGAGGGTCTCACGTATTGGGCTGACATTCTGATATTTGTGTCTTTGCTTTTGCACGTGTGCCCAAAATGCAAAAACAACATTCCTTCCAAATTAAGCATCCTAATTATGAAAGGCTAATGTGTCACATCTGGCCCCCCGATCAACACTGTGCTGTCCTGCTCCAAACCAGCCTGTGCCCAGTCTCTTGAGCTGGCACATGTGAGGGTGTCAGTGACATGGGGAGAGACAAGAGAGAAGTGTTTTTATTAATCCGGTTGTTAGTAGTGTAAACCCATAACATCCTGTGGCTGTTGGCTGGCCTCTTCTGCCATTCAAATGCGATCCAGCAACCAGAGAAGCAGTTGCTGTAGTGGAACTGGAAATTGTGTTGCAATGCAGCCACCGATGGAACTGCTGTAAGATGTTTTCTGGAAGAATTGCTTGTGATATAGACTAATTGAGGAACCACTTACATGTTAATAATCATTGTAGCATGCAACTATTGGAGTATAAACACACTTTACAGTGGTAACTGCTCAGAACCTGATGAAATTAAACAGCTACAGACAGTCAGGCATTAGTAGAGTGTAGACGTTTCACTCTCTTTGTATCATTGTTGGTTGCGTAGTTTCTCTCAAACTTCTAAACCAGAGGTTTAGTCCTCAAAGGTCAGAAGTACAAAGGCAGCCACGTCTGTAGGATAGAATTTGAAGGACATGACCCTTCTACGGTAGCTTCCAGCATGAATAAACTATGGATACAACAGGTTAGTCTCTTTATTTGTCAGTTTGCGTAGAAATCTGCTGTGCTGTTTTAGGCTCCTCTTCAAAGGCATCAGAGAGTTTATTAATTAAGCATGATGGAGTTATTCTCAGTTGTGCTTATGTGTATAAAATCAGATGTGGTTTCCCAGCATTTTCCCTTTTCAAAAATGCATGCAGTTCAGTAGACAATTTAACATACTTTTACACACTGTAGTGATAGAAAGATGAACTGTTATTTTAGGTTTTTTGTGCATACTGTACAGTATGCTGCACCTGTTGATTGCCTTTATCTACCACAGGATGTAGATGAGAATCTTAGCTCTAAAAACAAAGTCCTGGTGAGTTGTATGTACTTTGGCTCTGACACTTTGTGTCTTAGGTGTATCTTCCTGGGAGAGATGTTGCCAAGAGGCTGATTTTGTCTCAGATGGCTTGGATTAAAATCTGCATGCTATCCTCCCTGGGTTTGTTATCTTTGCATGTGCATGGTCGGTTTTTTTAGATTAATGGTTTCACGTTTTTTTTTTGTTGTTGTCCCTTTTTTGTTCTCTCTCTTTTATTTTTCCTCTCCTTTTCTTCCCCCCTTCCCCCTGCATCCCTCCTGCTTGCCATCGACTCCCTCTGGAAACCCCCTCTCTCCCCTGGCGTTTGACCATCCTTAGTTCCCTACCTCTGAAACCTTCCAAGAACGATAAACCTAGAAGTCTGAAAAAGATATCTAGGTAAGCATGGATTCTCTGAGGGAAAAGTCTGTCGCTAACCTGTGATGTCAGTAGAGGGAATGTGACGTGTGATTGGCGCTGTGTTTGTCTCTGTCCTTGTCTGTGTTTGTGCTCTGTGAACAGTTGAGTTTCAGGGTTATTTTTAATTCAGCTTTCCCTTTGCTTATCCTTTCCCATTTGGAATATCCATCTCCAATTGAATCCCACAAAGGAGAGTGAAGGATTGCAGATCAATGCATATTCTCCTCCCTCTCACTTCCTGACCCCAATTAATTTGATCAGTTGATATTGCCCAGTTATTGAAGCCAGGAGGCTGGAGCTCAGCCCAGATATTCTCTTGTTGGCCTATACAGAAGCCTGTTCATAGACTTTTGTTGGCCAACAAACAATACCATTACTGCAGAGGAGAAGAATTGTGTTTTTTTTTCTGCCTTAGAGGACTGCACCATGCTAACTCCACCATGCACCACATATGTTTGAAAATGATCTGATTGCAATTCATAACCCTGGCGTTCCTCATAGAGCATATGGAAAGGAAAGGTTTTTATTTTCCAAGTTTGCGTTCTCTTCAGATTACCGTTATTCCAGTGTTTGTAAAAGCTGACATTTAACGTTCCAGCTGGATGCACAGGAAGGAGCTGAATGCATAGGAAACCCTACTAAATTTCATACAGTACATTTGACGTATCTAAGTATGTTTGTGGTTGTCTCTCTGACTGCTGGTGTTTGCTTGTGTGTATTTATGTGTGAACAATAAACAAAGATGACAGTGCTTTAACCATAACAAATGTTGAAATACTGCAAGATACAGTACATAAAAAGCTAGACGAATCTGACAGCCTTTTGTGTTCTTGCTATCTTGCATGTCATGTAATTAAAATCTAAAACATTGATACTATAATGCGATTAAAATATGAATAAAAAAACAAACATAATAAAGATTTTGTCAGCTTCTCAGCACTCTCGATCAACTGCCAATCACACCATTGTTCATGGTTGCACTTATAGGTCTACTGACTTCCTTAAATTGAAATCTTAATTTCGGTTCTGTTGTCCTTGCTGTAATTATATTCCTTTTTTAATGATACAGTCATCTCTGTAGAGCAGCTGTGTGGAGTAGTGAATAAGACTGGACCTATAACTGGACAGTTGTGGGTTAAATCCCAGGTGAGACAATGCTGTACCCCTCACCTGAATTGTTCCCATGAAATACCTGTTTGTATAAACAGCTGCAATTATAAGTTGCTTTGTATAGAAGAATCAGGCAAATAAATATAAATTCTAAGGATGTTTCCCTTGGGAGAGACCAAGTCCGTGTCATCCAAGTTATAGTCTCACTATTACTTTTCTCAAACACTTCTCAAATGTTTTCAACAGTTTGTCACTCTTTTATGTGATACCTCATAATTCAAATACAGATGAATGGTACAGAAGCCGAGAGAAATACATAGAAAGTAAGGCTTGTTTGGAGGGAAGTGGCTGACCTAACCAGTCCTGAGTGCCTCACCTTGTGTTCGTGCCATGTTTCAGGGAGTTTATGAGCTACATGCAGCGCTACAAGTCATTCTTCGCAACATTGCCTGAGATCCTGTGCGAGGGAGAGATGGTTCAAGATGGCTTCACCTGCTGGAGTGGCGAAGATGTGGTTGAGAGGTAGGGGGAGATTTTTCTTGAGGTGTTTTTTCTCGAGATGCTGGGAAAGCCAAGCACTGTTTCCAGCTAGAAAGCTCAGTCCTGGTCCTGGAGGGCTGTTGTGTCTACAGGTTTTCGGTCAAGCTGGGCTCATAACGACCTGAATCAGTTAATTGGTTTAAATGGACAGGTTTAATAGCTTCTCCCAGCTGGTGCTTCTTCAGTTGCTGGTGCTGCTACAAAACCTGCAGACACATGTTTGGACACCCCAGCTTTACAGTTTGATGGCCGTAGCAGAGTAAAATCACGTCCTCTTGTTTTGAAACCAGTTGTAAATAATATGAAGTTTCAATATTTGCAGAAGGCAAATGACAAAAACACAGAAAAGTCCATCAAAGTTTTTTTTTAAATGATCTGCATTTAGTTTGGAGAAGAAGAGCAAATGTAGGGAAAAATGTGTCCTATTAGGCAATTTGGAGGAAATTGAAAAGTCCTTGTAGAATCTTTAAAAGATATCTAGTTTCTAATCTCCGTACTGTTATTTTTTATTCTGTATTTCATCGCATAAAGAGGTCTCTGGAGAATGAGTTTTATTGCCTGTAATGCTCCTTTCTAAATGTCATTTCTGTTCTGTATCAGAAAATCTTCAGCTCATTTTGTTTAGATGCATTTAGTCTCTTGGTGTGAGTCAGACATTTTTTATGCCATTCTGAACAAGAAGGCAGTTAAATTTAATGCACCAACTCAGATGATGGATGGATCACACACTGTAGCAAATGTCCGCATAATAAACCATATTATGTCATCCAAATACAAGTGCTCTTAGAGTTATATAACTCTTTAGAGTTATAACGTATTTATCACAGACTAATGAAAAAAGAGTGTGGAATGTGAATAAACATGCTTGCATGAAACTGGGTTCAAAGAGTTGTGTATTTCCATTAAATTTTAGATGTAAGTGTTTATTTTTCTTTCTTACTTAAAAAGAAAACTTAATGAGAACCTAAATCTCTGATATTCGCCCTAATAATTGTTTCAAACCCATTGAAACAATTGTAGTATTTTTTGTCAAAATTGTTTGACAAAAAGGAAATAGAAAAGCAAAAATGTCTTTGCTGGCAATAAAAAAATAGCAGATATATTTGTACAATAGTGAATAGAGCTCTGTGTGGGAGAGATTCATCATCTACTATATACCTGAGACAATGTTTGTAAGACCTTCAGGTCACACAGTTATAAAGAAAAAATGGGAAATGTTTAAACATTATGTGGATATTGTTTTATATTTCTAATCATAACTACTGGATACAGCTGAACTTTGATGGGGCACAGGGTATGTTCTTGTTCTGTTTAAGTAATCTAAATCCACAGTACAAATCCCTGTGACCTGTTTTGTTCACATCTAACTCTAAACTCATCAAGATACTGCAATTGTGATCGAATTTCATGAGTTTAACTCTCGTCCTCACAAGGAGGTTATTTTAGACCATCCAGTTTTACTAACAGTGATACTTTCTGTGTCAAGTTTAGCCTTTGGTGACTTTGTCAAATCCAGCAGCAATAATGAGTGCAAGAGACATTGATGATGTCAGCCCAAGAGGCACTCTTTATACTTGGAGGGTCTACCCTGTGCAAATAAAGTCTCATTGACCCTTGTGAGAATGGAGGATAATCTGATAAATCTTAGCAACAAAACATTCTTCTTTTATAGAGCCACATCTTTTATAAAGAAGAGACCAACATTTTTGTGTGGAACTGCATTATCAAATTCCTGTTGTTAGATTTTGCAACATATTAATTTCACATATCAAAGGTGTCAAATATTCTTCTTTGGTTCTATTCTGTGACCCTGGCTCCATTCATGAGAGAATGGAGACAAGCTCCCTCACATAGTCAATACAATTTTGAGTTAGAGTCTACAAACTGCCCGTTTCCCTGGCAACCACAGTCAGAAATAAATGAAAGTCAGCTACATTAATGAAATACAAAAACAAACTTTTTTGTGTTGTTTGACAATGTGATGTTTCTGTCCCTACGTGATTATATTAATCTATTTGTTTTCGGGGTAGTGTTTACATAATGTAGGTAGCACTTAGTCTGGACATTTTGTTAAGTGCTTATAAAGAAAGCAAAAGAATCTCCATTTCACCCCCTGGAATCCATCCTGTCAGCTGCTGGTTTAATGGGAAGGCGAGCTAGTACATCTCTTTCCAAAGAGTCTCAGGCACTGCATGCCTCTTGTTATAATTCCAAGAAATCTTTCTCACAATTCTGTTGTTTTAATATTACCAGTCTCAGAGTCTAAAGCTATTCCCCCAGAGCAGGAAAAAAGAATAAACAGAGAGTGTTTGCCTTTTCTACATTTGGCATTGACAGGCATGTCACTGGTCTCCTCCAAAAGGATGTGGTGTAACTAAGTAATTCTAAATTGGTATATATAAGTATATACTTCTGCCTGATAGTTCTGTACAGCACACACTGATAGTTACTATATACATCACTAGCAAATAACCTGGTGATCATTAGAATATAGAGGTTATTTTAGTCACAGTTTGTCTTGGTTTCTCTCAGAAACCCTACTGTGCGAGGTGGATGTATGTGTTGTTAAAGCCTTGTCTCCACAAACATTGGAGCCCCACTCTACATTTTGTAGAAGTGAAGCCAGTTTAAGTGGTTGTAATTTCCCTCTGAGAGATATCTGTATTCTTTTACTCAAATAGCATCTGTGAGCCTAGGACACTGCAAGAAGCACTTATAAATGGCATACATAACTGAACTTCTTTCTCATAGAACCAAGGTGAATGCGCTGGCTGATCATCACTTCATTCCAGTTTTATTGAATACTGTAGCTAGTCTGAATGACCTGTTTGGAGTCCAAATTATCACTCATGCTCCTGGGGTTTTTGGAGAGGTGAGAAAGACCCTCCAATCTCTCCAAAGTGTATCGAACTGGGGATTGTCCAAGAAGAAACTGGTTGGGTTTGTACCCTGTCGCACAAATCCTGATGCCCAGAAACCGCTTGGCCAGGTGATCCACATTCTCATCGGGTTCAAGTTTGAACTGGGCTTTTATATGTCATGGTAAAAAAAAACAACTGATAATTATCTATATATGTGTGTAAATATAATGGATCATTGAAAGAGGAAGGTGAAAGCTGCATGTGATTGATCCTCAATGATCCTCATCTTATTCTCCTTGTACCTATTATAAAGTATTTGGTGGTGGTGGAGGGGAGTCCCCATTACCTGTAAAGCGCTTTGAGTGGAGTGTCCAGAAAAGCGCTATATAAGTGTAAGCAATTATTATTATTATTATTATTATTATTATTATTATTATTATTATTATTATTATTATTTGCTCCCTAGTCAGCAGCAGTACTTTTTTGGATATCTGCAACCATATAAAATAATTTGCTTTCCATAAGATTTTATTTCTGAGTTGAGAATGTCTGAGTGTGCAGAGAGATAATGTAATACAGTACAATGTAATACAATGTAGCCTTATCGAAATATGCAACTAGAGTATGTTGAGTTTTCCATCAACATTGTAGAATGTGGGTAAGCCATAGGATGTGAGGAAGGAGTCTGTAGATTTGGGATTAGAGAACTGTGGGGGGAAGATGGCCTGGTTCCGGTCTTTAAAATGCTTTGAAACATTTTACTTCAACGTCTGAGCACTGCATTGAATGAATGGAGTGCACAGATTGGCTGACAAAATTGTGTTTGTAAAAATCTGTATAATGCATTGTTTTCAAATTTTACTGATAGCAAACAGGAATGGGTTAATATAGTAATCGAAACAAAGAAGTTTAGTTCAAAAGTACACCCTAGTTAGAGAAAGGCTAGTTAGAAACTTCACCAGTGGTTATGAAAATAGTTAAAACTTCGTAATGGAATAACTGAAATGAGTTTTGGCACAGCTAATTATAATGTCAAGGGTTGGTAACAACAAATTTACTGGCATTGTGAAGGTATTTACTCTATGAACATAAATATTTGTGTGTGCTGCAAGTTCAGCTGTTGTTTTTACTGTCCTGTTTCAAAGTCATCACATTTTTTCACTGAAAGTTGACAGTATAGAATAATATAGTAGTTAAAGAATAATTCCCCAAGAATTCATTATCAGGAATAACATGAATAACATGGGAGATAGGAGGGATAAGAATACCAATACTAAAAATAAACACCCAAATTAACATGTTTAAATTCCCATGTAGTATTAGAGACGTATGTGTAAAAAGTAGGAAGTTTTATAGCTACATTTGTGGAATTGTGTTCTCACTGATTTATATCATTAAAGTATTTCACTGAAAGACATAAAGAACTTATTGAACTTAATACCATGTAGCACATTTGGTGTGCCTCAGTCTTGTTAATTTAAAGTCGCTGTTTGGTGTACTCAATGTAATGACATCATTGTGGATTAATATGTGGTTTTGTGGGCCCTGCCTCAAACTAATAACATTTCGTACTTTTACATTCTTACTTATTATCATTTAAAATTAAACCCTGCTGAGGTGGGGAGTTTTTTTGTATTTGTAATGGGCTTGTGCCTTTTAAAGGACAAAATAAAAGACTCAGTTTGCCTGACTTACTTCTGTATTTCTGAATATGCATTTGATTTGTCAGATGTACTGTTTATTGTACATTGTACAGTGGTGAATTGAAAGAACATGTCCGTCTTGGCTTGGAGCTTAACATCCTCAACACATGTCTGCTGTCCTTCAAGCCAAGGCTTGACAAAAATGACACCTTTGAAAGGAAATAATATCTAATGGGTTAGATTTACATCAGTTTCGGATCCAGTGCTCGGTTTGTAATGAGAAAAGGTTATGGAGCTTAGGCAATCATTTAATCTTAATCATCAAATTTTAAACTTGCTAGGACTGAATTTGAGGCAATAATATTAAGACAATAATTCTACTGTAAGTACTGATGTTATATGTTGACAAGCACATGTTCTATGAGCATATTATATAAAAAGTAGATGGTACTAAAAATAATTAAAGAGCATCTGCAGG